TGCGGGCTGCGATCATAAGGACACATCCCCGTCACCCGCGGCCACGGCTAAATCGTGAACGTCTCCCGCGGGCCGCAATCACGGGACATCATCACAGGCACCCGAGGCCGCGGCAAAATCGTGAACATCTCCTCGGTCCACGGAGACATCATTATGGTCACCAGTGATCGCGGCAAACTGGTGGTATAAATTAAATTATTTTTTAAAAATTTTATCTAAAAAATGTTTTTCCCAATCCTTTGCGGCCCCCTTTTGCTTTTTGTTGCCCTAATCGGCCTAGTGGTAAATCCGGCACTGCAGAAGTGAGTCGTACTTTCGCTCGCCAAATCCCCTCCAAGTAGGCCAACGAGGTGAATTCGTTGACCGGAGCGTGCGCATCACCTGTCACCGTCGGTATCTGGTGTGGAAGCTAGCGGCGGGGACGCATTCAACTCGACCCTTGCTGACATTGCTGCCTTCTGGGAGGCAGAACTCAAAGGCCGCTAAGTTAGTTCTAATCATGTCAAATATGGACAGTAAATCAACTAAAGTAGGCCTACTATGTTCTTTCCATGATAACCTAACCTAACAAAACCGCCGCAGCGCTGTATAAAGGTATATTCCCCTATGGGTCATTCCATGTTAATGAGACTTTTTAACAAAAAAAGTTAAATTGAAGAAAATAGTATATTCTGCTTATTCAACAACTTGTTATGTTATTCTTATGAAGACTAAGACAAATGTTATCTCCCTTAATAATGAAAATAAATTATTATAACTTGGTAACTTATGTGGCTTTCCATACCCAGTTGAGTTATATTGATTGTTAATTATCAACGATTTTTTATTAATACAAATAACACAATTTAGATTCAACGATGTAACACCCGCAAAATTCAGTGTAACACAGGAAAACTGTAATCATAAACCATTAACTTACTAAGCCTAGAAAATTATAATGGACAATATAGTCAAAGTATACTTGGAGTATTGTTACTCCACAACATTTTTTTTTTTTTTAATAGGCCTTATAGTTTTAGCCTATCCAATTCACAGATAAGTTATCATGGACCCGTAACGCTATTTTAGTTAGCATACTCAGCATAATGTAATATGCAAGACCTAACAGTTTTGAGTGTGATTTAAAATAGGCTCATATATACTTTTATCTTGTACTATTTTACTATTTTAAAGTAATTTATAATGTGTACGTATGTAACACCCGTAACCATGGAATTCCCCCTATGTCAGGATGATTGAGGAGAAGACAAGCACTATGCTTCCTTGGTTTAACAGTTGATACAAATTTAAATTGGAATGCTCATCATATAAGGTTTTAACAAAAATTAACTCTGGAATAAACTTATATGCTCCTAGGAAAATGTCAATATACTGTGGATCAGAGACATTACACTATATTTATTTTTCATATATTTACTCTAACACAAGTTTTAGTTTGTGTCTTATCGGAGCAAGACGGAAAATATATTTGGACAGTATCTTAAAGCAACAAAAAAGAGCCATAACAATTAATTATCTTTAAAAAAATGTCAACAATGCAGTGTAAGCTAAGAAGTTTAATTGAGCCCGTAAAACCCTAGGATTACATTCAGTAGCAAAGTAACAAACACATGCATACAACTAACACCAGACGACTGACACTAGGTGTGATGAAGGTCAGATCAAGCGTAGTGTGGTTGACGGGGTAGTGAAAGGAGGAGGGGTTTTTAGGTTGTTTATTTTATTTTTTATGTGTTTTTACCAGTTGTTGACTGTTTGGTGACTAAAGTGTGTGTGGCGCTCAAATACTGTACCACAGCCATTGCAGCATTGCAGTTTATCAGCAATAACAGAAATGAGTGTTCAAAATCAATCAAAATCAAAATTTTATTGGGCCATTCAACATTTAAGTAATAGGCTAGGTCACACATTATAATCCTCTTGGGTCCTCTTGACGTACAATAGTCAGTCCATAATAATGAAATAAAAACATGCACAAACATCATGCAGAAAACACTAAAATATATATAAAAATAAGTAAAAAAGATTGATAGGTACCAAACACAACATGCAAGAACAGGCTGCTATAATCACTTTATTCAAGTCCAATCATCATTGGTGAGAAATCTGCTTCATTATACTCACTTAGGCTATAGAATGGGTTTTCTAGAAGCCAGTTTTTAATGATTTTAGCAAATTTTTGACTTGGCAGCCGTCTTACCTGAATTGGTACTCTATTATAAAATCTGATACCTGCAACAGGAAAACATTTCAGTACTTTGTCAAGCCTGCATCTAGATACATGCAAATTGCCACAAGTTCTAGTGGAATAGTTGTGCACATTTGAGTTGAGAATATAAACATGGTCATTTGATTTAATCGCTACAAGACACTGAAATATAAATACATTGTATACAGTCAGAATCTGACAAGCCTTAAATAGAGGCCTGCAGTGTGCAAGATGATGAGATCCACACAGCACCCTCAGCGCTCGCTTTTGCAACAGAGGAATTTTATACACCCTTGGTCTTGGTGAGTGACCCCACAGCCTAGTGCCGTATAGTATGTAGGACTGGAAAAAAGGAAAAAAATGCTAGCCTGACAAACTCAGAAGGAGTGTCCAATTTTAGGCATCTTAGAAGGTATATGACCCTGCTAAGCTTCACACACAGATTGTCTATATGATTCACCCAAGTGAGCTGAGGGTCCAGTGTGAAACCCAACAGCTAAAAACAATTTCTTGAGTTTTAGATTCATTAAGAGACAATTTGTTTACTCGAAACCATGCTGAAGCAGTATCAAGCAGGTTACGAACTGAGGACTTAGCTGTTCCCCAGTCTGAATGACTTGAAAAAAGAGTTGTATCATCAGCGTAAAATATAACATTGCCTGATACCTTGTAGTACAGATCGTTTATGGCTACAATGAACAAGAAAGGGCCAAGTATTGACCCTTGAGGTACTCCATGAATTAGGGCCTACATTTAAAGGGAATGAAAAACAACCATTCCAATCTACCACCTGCTTTCTTTGACACAAATACGATTTTAATAGATTCAAGGCAGTACCTCTGATTCCATATCTCTCAAGCTTTTCGGCCAACATTTTATGAGAAACGCAGTCAAATGCGCGTGAAAGATCACACAGAAGAACCGCTGTGGAACACTTCTGCTGAAAGGAACCCAACACGACCTGGAGGAGGGAGTCCACTGCCGAAATAGTGAACCTGCCCCTCCTAAAGCCGTACTGTGCCTGAACTAAGAGACGGCAAGTCTCGAAGTAGTCACACAGCTGCTCCAACATTACTGATTCAAGAACCTTTGCAAAAACAGGTATGAGAGATATGGGCCGGTAACTAGATACATTATTTCTTGGACCCTTTTTGAACACCGGCACGGTTCTAGATATCTTAAGAAACTAAGGGAAAATCCCACTACTCAGACACTCATTTATAAGAAATGTAAGAATTGGTGCAATGATATGACGGACTCTCTTAAGGAAGTCCACAGACATTCCATAGTAGTCTCTGCTTTTGGAGGATTTAAATTGATTTATCAATTTAACAATATCAAAAACATTTACCTTTCTCCATTCAAAGGAAGTAGTAGGAGGAGGAGGGAAGAAATGGTTATTGACACAGGCATCGGTTGAGAGGCTACAATCACTTACAATCTTATCTACAGATTCTAGAAAATACTGATTGAAGTAGCAGAAGGAAACGTTTTGTCAGGTATAGATAACTGAGCCTTATACATATTAATGTGGTTCCATGCTGCTTTGCATGGGTTTGGAGATTCAGCTATAGCCACGGCTACAGCAGACTGCTTTGCCTCCCTCAACTTCGCTCGGTACTCCCTCCGAAGGCGATGTAGCTCATTAGTCAGATGAGGCCTAGTCTTACACAAGTCGCACACAATCAGGATAAAGGATCTCAGATTTGCCAATTCAGGAGTATACCAATCTCCTATCATTTTAACACTATTTCCGTTACTTGGTATAGATCTAAATACCTTAGTTGTGATGGGGAAATATAAATCAAAGAGTGTTCTAAAACCCTTGAAAAAAACATTAAAAAAAGCATTAGTGTTGTGGTAGTAGCATAGAATAGTTATTTGTGTAACTAGTGGTGAAAGTGGCACTTTGCTGCACACGAGAGCAATGTTTACTCGAGGAATGATCTCGAGTGCAGCAAAGGCCTTTTTCACTCGTGTTACACATTATATTTTTCCTACAGTCACTATAAAACATAAATAATTAGTCTTTCAAACACTATACAACACGTTTTTAGGTTCAGCTAGCAACACAATTACACAAATGGTGCCCTGGAGAAAGTAGTACCCGTGGTCCGTATCACTCCGCTACTTTTCTTCGGCAAGAAATGTGCTCCGTCTTTTGAGAATATAGTTCCGTATGTTTTTGTAATTTGAAGTGGTTTCCGCGCCTAAAAAAAAATTCTTTAAAGGTATTTTCTTGTTTATTAAGACCGTAGGAATGTTTTAAAAACGTTTAAAAGAAAAGTCCAGAAAGTTTAGAAATACCAAAACTATAAACACAAAATGACAGGTTAAATCGTAGTTATAATAGTCAATCAGCTGTTCATAGTATTATTATCTTTAAGTGTTGCCAACCTATTTCCAAGCGTACACGGATTACGTGCATAATAAAACCACGCTGTTTTGTGTTGTTTGGTTGGAATCCTGATGTGCGGCAAAGTATAAACCGTGCGGCAAAGTATAAACCGTACGGCAAAGTATAAATATGCAGCAATTAGCAGCTTTCTGTACTATAAACAGCACAGGGAAGCCAACTTTGTCGGGTGACTGTAGGAAAAGTAACTTAAGTTAAATGCTGGTTGATCAGGGAACCCCTCTTATCTAGGTAGGCCTACATTTAGGCCTATTACAGCTACAGTTAGTCAACATTCTTCAACCCTTTTACTAACTTAGGCCTTAGGCCTAATTCTAATTTCAGTTTACCTAGCATTCCACCAGCTAAATTGGTCAATGTTTATATTATTTACAGGAGGTGTCATTGGTCTTCAAAACCTGGGTTTGACCTGCTTCCTCAACACTTTGCTTCAAGCAATGGCGTCATGTGCAATATTTGTTGAGTGGCTAGAAAGTTGCCATGGACAAGGCCCTGTGGCATCTGCTCTCTATTATTTGCTTAAAGGTAGACAACTTCAAACTCCTTCAGTCATTTTCATTAAACCTTTCTTGTTTGTTGGCAAAATCCAAGTTTCTTGAAGATATGTATCTAGTCTTCGGTAAGAAAGCTACTAAATAAATACGGTTCTTTGTTGTGTTCAAATTTAATTTATAAATTAAAATAATTTATATTCAAAATTGCGTTATAGCCTAGTATTATTGTCCTTAATAGATTAGGAAAAGATGTAAATACTTGTTTATATGCCTAGTAATCTTTAGAATTGCTTTTATCAACTACAAGTAGATTCAGCGCAGAATTGGTTTCATTTTAAACACAGCTAAAAATTAATTAATATTGCATTTTAAAGTCGGCTTTCATATCTTTATTGAATGTAGGCTATTATAATTGAGTTATTTTGCAGTTCTCAGCACCGAGCCAGCAAAGCTGCCTGAAGGTATAGAGGAGCCCCTTGCTCCTAGTGGTTTCATACAAGCACTGAGAGGCCACGGTTGGTCCATTGGCTTTGGAGAGCAAGACGCTCATGAGCTGTTCCACCTTATCATGGCAACATTGGAGGAGGAGGCTCACAAAACATCAGCTGTTAGTTACACATGTCTTTCATAGTATTTAAGGTCGATTTACACATCAGTCCAGTCACAGTTCCGTTAGAGTAAAAATATTTTAATTAAAACATAATATTCTATCACATTTTCATCATCCATCTTGTTGATTGTTACAAACAGTACTTAAAATATGTAAGCGATCATTTAAATAAAAAGCACTATTTTCTAATCTCAAACACGTCCGTCAGGGGTCCAAACAATACAAAAATATTGTTGAGAAAAAATCTGAAATTGGGCGACTGGACGGAACTGGGTCAGATGAGTGTAGATAGCGCAATACAAAATCCATTAAAGGATCATTTGTTTGATTGAGACGTGACTGATGTGACTTAACTGTGACGTCCGGTAACTGAAATGTGTGAATCGACCTTAAGGCTTACAATAAATTTTTAGAATCACAATAGTTGGCACATAGTTAACATCTTACAATAACTTAGTCCAATACTATTTTCTTATTACCTATAACTTGGTCAGTTTGGCTAGAAAATTGATTGCTCACAAAAATAAATTTTGATTTTCAGGCATGTTTTCATATACTTGTTGAACTTGTTCATATACATGTTAAGTCATTACTGTAGTACTTCTCATGATTTACAGTTGGCGCCTACTTATTTGGGCCACCTTAGAGCAGGATACTATATTCCAGACAGAATGAATTTATCTTAAAATCCTTTCTTACTCTAAAGCTTGTTGAATAAACTATAGTTCCCCAAATATCTAGTTTCTAAGTCAATGCTAATACCGAATTATGTCAGTACCGGTAGCTGTCTGTATTATTTTAAACTAAAAAAATAAGCTCTTGTGCATGATTTAGCTTTTGTATGTTCAATAGGTTACAATATACAGGCGTCAAGCCAACTTGAAGTCAGAAATTGGAATGCAAATATTGATGACCAGATAAAGTTTGTAAATTGTATATATATATGGATGTTGTATAGAACCGATAAATTTTGAATAGCCGCAAATAGCCTACGGTTGAATGTCCATTTATTAGCAGTAGGTCTATTCTGGTTCTCATTTAACATTGTCACATGTAGAAAGTAAATAACGATTGCTGGAATGAATTTTGTGTGGCTATGATTGCATAGAATGATGACAATGGCACCGCATATTATGCACTTATACTTATGCGGATATATGGTACTTTCGCAGAGAACCTACGATATGTTATTGTGTATGAATAACGATAAATATTAAAATATGTCGACATTTATCTGGTTCAATGTTAATATCGCAATGATTTTAATTTTCCCATGATATAATAGACCATTCATCTAAAACATTTTAAAAGGCAAAGTTTGTAAAAAATGGCGTAGTTATGATTTTTTGGTATGTTATTAAGATACATGAGAGTAATGTAAAACAAAGTTTACAGCTTCGAAAGACACTTACTGCTCACTGCTCGGTGGTCGAAAAAACTCAATTTTCTTGTACTTTTTCATTTTTTTGCAAAAATCTCAAAACCATGTAGCCTATTGTACGAAGGAAAGCGTTATATTCTTTTTTATGTAAATCAAATCCCCTAAAATTTGGTATCAGTTTCAGCTCTGCATCTAGACTTTGAGATAGGCTACATTATTTGTAAGTTTTGGAACATTTTTTAAAAGTTGCTAGAGTACAGAGTTAATATTTTTTAGCTAAATGTCAGCTTTAATACTCACTCTACGGCATTGGTAATGAAAAATAATATTATGGTGAATTTTTAGAGCCTTATTATGCGTTGCCACTCGAGTGGCTTGCGACCGCGACTGCTCAGTCGCTGTGGTCGGTGGCCACAGGTGTGGCGAGGTTGCGCGTCTGACTGAATGTTATCATAGACTTGTATGTAGTTTCTCCGTGTGAATTGAATGACGTAGTCGTCAAGTAAAGAAGATGAACTATTTCTACTACTTTCACTTACTAAAAGAAAGAAATTATCCGTATTCCACAAGAATGTGAATAATTGTATTTCAGCTAAGGAGAGGCTAGCACTTACCTTAAATTAAATATAATAGTTTTTACATTAATATAACCATAATTATAGTAATATAATAAAATAACCCCGCCGCAGCAAACCTGCAGACTAAGGGAATGTCCATTTTCCTGGCTGGATTTCTAAAATATTCCCTTTGTCAGATTTATTTCCTTTTAAATAACATTAATTTTAATGAGTACCGTAGTTAGGTTTGCTGCTACAGGGAAGGTATTGAGGTGTTTTTTTTATTTATTGAAATGTTGATAGCTTAGTATGAAATAAACAAAATGGCCAAATTTGATTAAAATATATCCATAAGTTAGACGCAAACTACAACAGTTTATTTATTCTTCCTAAGAATTAAATGGGAATTTTAAATTTACAATCTTATAACTATCTCCGTAACCGTTAGGGATACAGCAACGCTTCAATGAACATAAATATATATTTTTTTCTCTACAAAATGGTTTGGAAAGAAATTGTGAAATGTTGTGTTTTTAGGGACGAAAATGGGAAAGAATTTTTACCTTATAAACCCCCCTCCCCCCCATAAACCCCCGTTCCCTTAGTCCGATCATGCTGGTTCGCGAACTTGTACGAATAAATGTATGTTTATACGTTTGTACCAAATTTAATTGAAATCGGACCATTTTTGCTCAAGTTATTAAATTAATTTGAACGGAGGGTGTTTTTGACCTCTGTGGACCTCAAAACGAAAAAGTAAATCGGTCCCAGGTCTAGGTCTTACCCTACGTAAATAGCTTATTCCCTATACTTGGGAAATTCGCTAATGAATATAAGAAAACTTTGACACAAAAATCGTGACTGAGGCCTGGTAGGGGGAGTGGGGGGTGCGGTGTGGCCCGCGACTGGCTACGCGTAATAATCAGCATATAAGAACATGGCCCGCTGGAGGTGCGACAGTCGCGTGGGCTCTCAACTAGTAGCAAGGGTGCGCGACTGGAGTAGCCAGTTACGGCGACTGTCACGTGCCCCGCCATCGCAGTCGCGTCGCTTAATAAGCTCCATATGATAACATGGCCCGCTAAAAGTGGCCTTTGAGCAGTTGCAGTCATGCGCCACTCGAGTGGCCGTGCTTAATAAGGCTATTAGCTTTAATGTAGGCTCAAGTGGAAGCATGTAGGCAAAAAGTTTGTCATTTGAAAAGAAATTTAAACTGGCAGATCCAGACGTTTTTATGTAGTCTATAGCTTAAGTTAAAAGTGTTATGCGTTATTATATTTTGGCCAGGATACAAAATCATGTTATAACAAATGAGTGTATATTCAGAACATATAACTATTTTTAATCCTAAAGCTTACAGATATTACATGTACTGTGCACAAAGAAGAAAGTAACTTAAAACAAATCATCATATTTTGGATTTCTTGGGAGGACCGGGACCAAAATTTCATTATTTTGCAGTAAGTAAAAGTCTTCTAATTTAAGTCAGGCACTGAAAAGCTTAAAATGGAATAAAAACGATTAGGTATACAGCCTTCCACTTGTGCCTACATTAAAGCTAAATAAATTTACCGTAATAATATTTTTCATTATTAACGTTGTAGGATGAGTATTAAAGCTGACATTTAGCTAAAAAAATTATTAACTCAATACTTGAGCAATTTTTTTGAGAAATATTCCACTTCAACAAAAGGTTGTAACGCTTTCTTTTGTACAATACATGGTTTTTGAGATTTTTGTAAAAAAATTAAAAAAGTAGGCCTAAAAGAAAATAAAGTACCTACGGTATTTGAAGTACAAGAAACTCGAGTTTTTTCGACCACCAAGCAGCGAGCACAGGTCTTTCGAGGCTGCAAACTTGGTTTACATTGCTCTTATGTACCCAAACAACATACAAAAAAAAATCATAACTACACCATTTTTCTCAAACAAGGATGTCTTAGATGACTGGTCTATAATAAATAAAACAATAACAATAACATTAATTAAGCTTTTTATTCCTTAGATTCCACTTAAATATTTAAGATTAAAAATGTAACAAATGGTTTGTAGGTTTTTAGTTCAGAATATTAAGTAATAGCCTATGATTATCAGTAATTTATCTTTTGGTCATTGTTTTTTTTTTCATATAATAAATTCTGTTTAAATGGTTTTTATGGATAGTTTTATTTATTAAATACTAGCTGGCCCGACAGACGTCGTCCTGTCCTATTGTGGTTTTATGTCACATGCTCGTTCATTTTCAAGATGAGCTCGTTCGCATGGCTCAATCACGTCCTGGTTGAAGTTCGTTCGCTACGCTCACTCACCTTTAGGTTGGAGCTCGTTCGCTGCGCTCACTTGCCTTCAGGTTAGCTCGTTCGCTACGCTAACTCGCCTCCAGGTTGAAGTTCGTTCGCTACGCTCACTCACCTTTTGGTTGCAAATTAGCTGTTCTCATAAATTAAAAATAAATATAGTGCTGCACCCTGTTGGTAAACCTATTAACTTTTTAATGCTATTGAACATCACAGAATCAAATTGTTTACTTGCACCAGCTGTTAAGATTCTTTAATTCCATTTAAATATGAGTACTCATAAGGTTAACATGGGAAACTCCAGAGCCACTGGGGCGGAGCCCTATTGACGGATCTGCACCAAACTTCACACAAACCATCCTTGAATAATACTTAATAATGCCTGAAAGTTTCATTACAATCTGTCGAGCGGTTTTGGAGTCCATAAAGGACAAACATACAAATATACAAACATACAAATATACAAACATACATTGGATTTTATATATATAGAAGACAATAAAAACGTAAACAAACCAATTTTAAAATCAGTGGTTAGGAACAAGTTTCAACACATATTGCTATTCATCCGATAATATATTGTAGGTTCTCTGCGGAAGTCTTCCTATCTCAATGATGACAAAATTGTGAGCAATTAGAGATTTTGCAATTATTTAAAGAGATGCTCACGGTGTTGCTGCAATTATGTGACGATACTTCCCATGATCTACAGAAATGGACATAGTTTCTTGATTTGCTAATAACAATGCAGCTAACTAAAACTAATACCCTGAACCAGGCCCATTTAAAAGTTCCAACCAGTAAAAAGGTGGTTGGTTTAGAGAGTTCTCACGTGCAGTCACAGCAAGATTGTTATTTTTTACACTTTTAGAATGAGGGCAGTCTTACTGATGCTTTAGAACCAAAACGAAGAAACTCAACTGGTGACGTGGAAGAGAGTCATAAATCATCAGGAGACAAAGGCGAACCACAATCTCTCCCCCCAGTCCTCAAGTAAGTGAAATTATATGGTTACCGTACATAAAAATCTGTAAAATGGGCCATTATGAAATCAACAAATACAAATTGTTTTCAACCTGACAGTTTGATGAAATTTTTCATGTTTTGAGTAATATTTTGAGACACGAATACAATATATATCTATATATATTTAAATCTATCTTTGATCTTTTTTGAAATATACATATTTTAAAATGATAAAAATTGGCTTTTTTAGCATACTCACCGAATCTGTAATATTATTTGACTAGTTGATATTGATTTGATTAGTTCTATTTGCTCTTATTCTATCTCATTATAAAGATGATTTAAGTAGGTAGTTGTAATCTGATACCAAACTCAACCTACTTAGGTAAAAATGGATTTCTTTAAATGTCAAAAATAATTAAAACAAAATTATCCATCTACTAGGAATACAGGGTGGCTGGTCATCAGTGTTACAAAAAAATGTTGGTGTAAGTACAAAGTAAATGAAGTGTGATGTGATGCATATAAGAGGTTCCAAGTCTAAACATTGGCTTCCCAAAGAATTATGTTAGTAAAAAAAAAAAAAACCATAATTTCAGCAAAATATAGCAATTTCTCAAATACCTGCAAACAAATTCAAGTAGATTACGCCATTTTCGTGTTCTACATTAAATTTTGAATAAGAATAATTGAAAATAATGGAGAATCAATAGTAGAAACTCCATTGTAAATAGTTCAAAACAATTTTCGTAACACTGATGACCAGCCACACTTTATTTAAAAAAAAAACAAGTTTTACATTTTTAAATTATTCCTTGGAGTTGGTTTAGTGAGAAAACTTTTTATTTAATCATTGTAGGATCAGCGGTTTCTTTGAAATCAATACTGGACACCTTACAAAATTCACCCTGTGTATATTTTAATAATCTATATATTAATACACAAACAGTTTCCTTTTCACAGTCATAACTCAATAACGGCTTTGATGGATTTTAAAGTTTGAGGTGTCAAATTAAAGGGATTTTCATGTAGATGAACAAATACGTCTCAGAATATTTAGAAAGGGCACCACTTTAGTACACTTAAGGGCTAAAGTTTGGAAGGCGGCGCTATCTGTTGACATTTGATCAAACTCATTTCCCTTTGTTTACAAATAATATATGGATGTCATTTGAAATAGTTTTTAAGGTTAACCACATACTGCAGGACTTAAAACTTCCAGAGCAAAGCCAGAGTGGGATTATTTTCATTTAAACATCTGTTAAATAAGTCTGGTTCATAAAGTAGTTTCCTAGCAAAACTTGATAAGAAATTGTTCGTAATATTTAAATTCATTTAACTTGCTTCTTATTTTACTGAATTATCATGTAGTTTCGGTTACAGTTCGGTGTGATGAATAAGTGAATGTTTGAAAGTGATTATTCACAGTGCAGTTACCCACCCATTTACAATGTAATTTACAATGTATATCAAAATTCCATTGTGGTGTTTTCTGTTGTTTGGTTTACTTCCGTATTTTATTTAAATTTAAAAATAAGCCACCAGTAAGATGAAGAACTGTGATTGGCTGGAGGGAACGCGGACGTGATGGCTGGAGGGAACGCGGACGTGACTGCTCGCATCAACCTACCAATGGAACATTTGAAGGTTACAGAATGGCAGTACCACCGTGGTGATACATCATGGATACATCTCCTCAGACAGATGAACGTTAAGTGTTTACATTGTGGTGGCTTACATTTTAAACAAAGGAAAGAAGACCGAAGCAGTTCAATTTTCACTCATTGTTACCATAAATGAAAGACCCGTTTACTCATCTGCAGAATTCACTATACTTTCAGGAACTTATTGGAAACTCCCAATCTTAAAACAGGGCTGCGAGGCTTAGATCTAGAAATTATTTGGATAAATTCGTCAACTCAATTTCGCCTTTGCCATGGTCAGCTCTAAAGCTCATTTAGATGAGAGGATCACACAGGGGATCTACAATTTAAAGATCCATGACACGTGTTATCTCCGAGTAAATATCTATTTCCTTTAGAAGGTCATCGTGAACCCTCACAGATGTATAGTTGAGTACGACGTTGGCACTGGACAACGCATGAAACATAATTCAAACAAAAAATGCCATGAAAAAATATGCGGGAATAGGGTCACATTGCCAACCTATTTGCCTAATCTTTTAAAATTGTGACAAAAATGTGTAGGGACAAGAGGTTCGAGGAGTCAAGTGAGATTCATGTGCTTATGCTACTTAAATAAATGTCGCAGCTATTTTTAAAGCTGAAAACAGAGCACCACCTGGCCAATTAAATCTTAGGTCTTTTCCAAAAACTAACAATGTTAAACGCGAATCCGTTCTAGATCCGTCGTTAGATCCACTTGCTTACCCTCATATGTTCCCAACCGGAGACTTTTGTTGGCACCCCTAATTTAAACACGCCTAAAAATAGAACATATAGGTAGTACAAATAATTTAACAATGCTGTAGTATGTGCCGTACTGGTTGGTGTCAAGATAGGGATTAAGCTTGCTACAAAAAGTCTGAAAAACTCACTTTACAGTGTTTGGTTGACATCGACGTTCTCATAGAGCGTCGCCCGCCTACAGTACAAGAGAAAGCCAAAGCATTACGAGAGCGGATCTATATTTAAATATTGTATTCTACTTTTATAATTTTGTTACATTATATTTTTCATATTTCTATAATCAGCCAGAAATTACATTAAAGTGACTCTTTGATTAAGTCTTGCTGTTTATTTTTTTATTGTTTATTGTTTATTCTTTCATTACAGCTTGCAGTTTGGCTCGGTTTCGAGCAACAGGTCATCTAGTGTTACATTATTACTTGAACAAAACCATGCTGAATGAACACTATCTTATAGGCTTAAAATAGGTTTTTATCTTATAGGCTTGTCAACAAACAAGGAGAGCCTATAACAAGGAAAATCCTACCCAAGTACGACAGCAACAAAAACTGTCAGGCCTCTCCCTTCTGTGGTCTGTTGACTAGTCAGCTGCAGTGTGTGGATTGTGGATTCAAGGTAATACAGTACTAACTGTCAAATGAATGTTTTATTTAGTCAGTGACAGTGATAAGAGAGTGCTGGCCAGCCTTTACAGTTTTAACCAGTTTTATCACTTTTTATTCCATTTTAATAATTTGATCAACATGACTAGTTTTTACTATTGTGATTCTGACAGTGTTTTAAAGAATCTTTTGACATACCACAATGTATTATTACATTGAAGATGTGGTTGCATACAATGACCTGACAATGTTCTAAGGAACGAAACTAGTTGTCATACTACCAACTGTGGTTGGATAAGGTAATTCTTCCATTTTATCAATTATATATTCCAACCAAGGGTCACAATGAATAACAAAATTAAATATACAGCTGTGAGGCCATTTGCACACACATAATTTTGGACTGCCAATTTTTTATATACCGTCCCAACTCCAATAGTGAATCAAAGGATTGAACTGAATCTGGCTCGAATTCCACTGATTGTCAGTATAATGCCTGCTAGAAGCCGGCCACTGCCACTGTATGAACTGGAACTAGGGTAATAATGGCAACATAGTGACCCCAACTACTCAACAACAACTTCTTATGTATGATTTATGTATTTTACTAAATTCAGCTTTCAGGCACATTGACTGTTTACCGACCGTTTTTCTTTTTAAAATCCAAACCTTATTCATTTGACTGGTAAAAATCAGGACTGTTGCAAGCATCTGTTGTCGATAAAATATCAGCTGATGTTTTACCAACCATCTAAAAACAGTGTGTGAGCAAAAGCTAACAAAGCTACATGATTCAAAATTAATGTTGCAAGTAATTTATCACAATCACTAATAGTTAGGGCTAATCGTTTGAACATTAAAATAGTAATCTTAACATAGGTGAAAATCATATGTATAGTAGACTAGCACTGCACTACTCCGGCACTCCAGTAATCCGGTGTCTTTTGATGGGTGTGGTGGGGAGGAATTTAAGTTGAGACACGTATTGTGTAACAGTTTATTTCACATTGTCTATTGTGTCTCTAGGTACCGGGTTGCGGTTGGGGAGTTTCGGCTCCTTCAGCAATAATAATAATGTAATGTAATGTAGTGTAATGTCTATTGTGACTGTATTTAGAAGCTTCGGGCAAAATTCTGATCATTTCCTGCCGCCATGTAGACATCACCATCAACTCCCGCGGTCACAGAAAAGTCATCGTGGTCTTGCGCAATCGGGGCAAAATTATAATCATCTCCCACGGTCATGTAGTCATTATCGACATCCTCCGCTGTTGTGGCAAAATTCTGGTTATCTGTAACTGTGTAGACATCTTGATAGACTCCCGCCGTCACGGAAACTTCGTCGTCGTCATGCGCGATTGTGGCAATAGCGGTTATTTTCCAATGGCGCGATCTTGGTATCGACAACGTAACGAAAATCAATACAATCGATTTTCGATACCGATACCAGTGTCCAAGTATCGGTGGTGTCGAGAATTGATACATCCCTACAGTTGAGTAATTTTTAGTACATATACTGAAATTGAACACTGTTTTACTATAGTGTGTATTTCAGTCAGTCGTCCGTTATGACAAGTTTGATAGCCTGTCTCTGCATCTACCAGAGATGGGCAGTGGTTTTTTACAACCAATCACACTAGCACATCTGTTAGACCGGTTTACCCAGACTGAGTCTGTCAATGGTGTTGTGTGTGAAGGATGCAACAACAATCGAGCTCCTGACCAGCCTCCCATCACTACTACTTCTCTCAAGACACTGTCCATTGGCAAGGTAACCATAACCACCTAAAAACTTGTGTATGTTTAGCCTAATACTAGGGTTCTGCAGTGTACCAAAAAAATCTGTACAATAAGGTTCTGGCCTAATTACTGCAATCGTAGGTACAGCACTTGGTACAAATTCAGTAGGTACAGCCTATAAAATTAAATGACTTTCATTTTACTGGTTGTTGGTTCGGAGCACATAAAAAGTTTATCAGATGTTTGTTTACGACATTCATAATTTACATTTATTACTAGGGCAATGATGCAACAAAAACCCCATTAGCAGTCCCAAATCCATAAATATTTTATCAGGACAATAATTGTTGTACTCAAGGTCAAGTCAAGTACTACCAAGAACTCTAATTATTTACCAACAAAATTTACTGTACCAAAATGCCCTTGACTCCTTTAGTTCGGTTAGTCGGCGTTTTACTGCACTCACTTCCAAGTAGGCCCTTCCGGAGGGGCGGAATATCTAGTCATAAACATTTTTGTCTGCTATCAACTACATCACTCTTTAAGGTGAGTTACTTGGGTCCCCATTCCTTCTCACTCAGTTCAACAATGTAAAAATTAATATTTGTAATTATTTGTGTATGAAACTTGAAACTGACTATATTTCAGAACCCAATTAGTTTTGTTATGACATCGTACAAGTTAACGTTTTTCTGCACTCAGTTGCCAAGGTGCTTATGCATCCACATTCACCGCATCTCCATGGACAAGCATGGTTCTCCCTATAAACGACCTGACTATGTAGACTTTCCTGAGTATCTCTGCATGGATCCGTACACTCAGAATTCAATAATTAAAGAACAGAAGGTAAGATTATTTGCTTTATTAGGAAATTTAAAATTATGTTTTTATGTCTCAATACTGCAATAGTGAAAATATGCACAAAGAGAAGACCTGTGCACAAATTAATATTATTTTGTACATCTTAATACTGTTCAAAACTTATTTCCTTGGCAAAACAAATAATGCAATGCTCTTTAATCTTTCAAAGATTTTGTTTGGTTTAAATTAAACTTTAATTGCAAAAATTGTTTAAGTAGAACGGAGAAAAAGTATGTTGCCGAGAAAACCCTGTATTTTATCGAAGCATACATATTGGTACCATAAGAATTGCTTTTACTTCCTTTAGTTCCTATTCAACTTTTCATTTGTATATACGACTGTACTGTACAGACAATGAATGCTTATTTAATCTTTTCAACAATCTGTGTCATCTCAATAGTATTTTATGTACACCTTGGGGAAGCATTTTAGAATGAAGTTTAAATATATAGCACAGTCTGTAATGAACAGATTTAGAATAGGTCTATCCATGTATTACAGTATCAACACAGGCCACAACCCAAATTATTTGGAATATAATGAAAATTAGCACATAGGTAGGCTACAGTGTAAGTTCCAAAAACTAGTTTCCAAAAACTACAGTTTCTTATTTGTTGAATTCTTGTATACAAAATCTTAGAACATGTAAAAAATCATCTTTTGCTCTTTAATCCCCTTAGAGTTGTGAAATAATTGACTTTTAGATACCTACTGAAGTAGACATCCCAACTGTAAGGACAAGTAGCCAATTTTGTAAAAAAAAAGTTCAATAATTTACAAGTGGTTAAAATCCTTGTATTTTTGTTGATGTGATATGGTATAGTTTATAACAAGTTGCTCTTTTAGTTTGGCTAGGTTTTAAAAGTTGGCGTAACCAAAATAAATCAGTAATTCACACCAGCATGCTTTATTGTGGCTCAATCAAACTATGTGCATTTAGATCAGTGTAATCATACAGCTACACATAAAACGGTAGGCTATGTCGTAAATAACTCAAGTATGAATTTATAAACTGATTTTATGTTTTAAGAGAAACTTTACCTTTAGGTTCATATTAAAATTTTCTGAATTATATTTTTATTAGCATTATTGAAGCCCCACAACTTGTTTGTAGTTGAAAGAGGATGTCAAACCAGATGGGGATGAAACTGCTGAATGTTCCACGCCCAAATCTTTACCTTGTAGGATGGGGTAAGTGGATTATTGCAATAATCATATATTGTTTCCAAAGTCCTTTTTTTTGTTGCTACGCTACAACTTCCTTTATAATAACTATTCATCAGAACCTGTGCACTTACAGGGTAAGTGTAACGTGTATATTGGGCTTTTCTTATAAGTATTATAAACGCCTAGAATTCTGTACTTTTTAGCTGGGAAAACCAGGAAAAATCCTTTAATCTTGTTTATATATTCTGCTGACAACCCTAGAGAAGGTGCTGGTGAAAACCGTGTGAAAGGAGAAAATCAGTTGGATCCTTGGTGAGGCATTGGAGAGGAAAATGCCAGTAACTTAAATCTTGCTGGTTTGATGGAAAACCAGGTTCTATCATGCAGACCATTCAAGTGTAGGGGTGTGCGAAGCAGCAAAAAATTTTCGATTTGAAGCAACGATTTGATTCAACAGATTTTTGATTTGAATCAATGCAACTTGATTCAAAGCAATACTTAATTTTTCTATCCATACTTGTCAATGGAGTGAAATAAAAAATTTACCACATTTTTGTGTAATGCAGTTTTTTGTTTATGTGGTATTAGGCCTATCCATACACATGACATTATATGTATGGTGAAAAATATTTATTTTCAATCAAATTTTAGAAGAAGCTGTATTACTCAAAATGTCAGTGAGTTGCTTTACTTGCCTTAATGCCTTAATAAAAGGAAAGGCAGCAGCAACACGCTCCTGTATTGCGGGCGTTTTTCGTATAGGGATACTGATTCCCACATGAATCGAATCAAATTGGAATTTCGATGCATCGCACACCCCTATTCAAGTGCAATTCAGCTTGAGGAAGAAGACAACATTATCATGAATATTCATTAGGCCTAATATTGGTACCCCTATTAAACCACAATCTGTCTGCACGTCTCTTGAGCATCATGTGCAGCTACATCGCCGCCAAAAGCTAGTTCCCTGTGGCAAGGGGAGCAGCAAAGTTCTCCTACTCAACCAACAGCACCGAGCCTGTCAAGATAGTTGCGCAATGCAGTCCACCCACACTTTGGAGATCCAAGAGGACTGTTAGCAAGCCTGAGAGGCTTTAAATTTAAAAGTTATTGAAGATAGTCACAAGAATATTTTTAGTTCAATTTTATTTAAAAAAAGCTGTTGGTTTTAAACTACAAAAAATTAATTTAGAAGTTTTGAGGTATTATTACCAAACGGCATACCTAAGTCAAGAATTTTGTTAAGTTAGTTGCACACACATTTGGTTAGGATGAGTGTCATTTGAGAACAAGCTTGCTAGAATGTTATGAATTCCTGTCTCTAGTAATCAGCTGAAGTATTTATTTACTTGTTTGTATTAGAGATTTGTTTACCTTTCCAGCTATGTAAGAATTTAAGTTTATTAAAGCCTTATTTTCTAAAAAGGTTCAGTTATTCACAACAAATTTAATAAACTTAAACTTATCAAGATAATTAAATAATCAAAATCAAAATGGAAAGACTTTTAAAACCAGACAGGTTTGATATTAATCCTGAAAATCCTTCTGCAAGTAGAGCATTCAAACATTGGTTCAGGACACTTGAAAATTTCATATCTGACTCAGAAGTTACTGAAGAGAGGAAACTTAACGTGTTGATTAATTTTCTTTCTTACAATGTCTACGAGTATATTTCTGAATGTTCCACGTTTAAGTCAGCAGTTGAAATTTTGCAAACTATTTATAATCCTAAGAAGAATGAAATTTATGCTCGACACATGCTAGCAAACCGCAAGCAGAAGAAAGAAGAAAACATAGACAAGTATCTACAAGAGCTTAAACTTCTAAGTAAGGATTGCAATTTTCGTGCCATAGATGGAAATACTTATTGAGATGAAGCCGTTAGAGATGCCTTTATAAGTGGAATTATGAACCCCCAAATTCGACAAAGACTACTAGAAAAACCGTCCTTGACATTAAAAGAAGCTGAGGACATTTCACGTTCACTTGAGTCTGCACAGAAGAGCTGTGAAGCATATAGATCTCCAAACCAAATTGAAGTTACATACTGCAACACTTCGTCAACACTACCAGATCAACTGGATGAAAATATAGATCCTGAAGAGTCTCCTACTTCAGCAGCTGTAGCGAAAAACTTTAAACAGAAGTGTTTCTACTGCGGTGGCCGGCGTCATTTTACTCGAAACGACTGTCCTGCCAAAGATGCTACTTGCTCTGGTTGTAAGAAAAGGGGACATTTTGTGAAGGTATGCAGGTTGATGAAAGCTCAAGGTAAGACCTTTAATGCCTCTTCTTTGGTAGTAACCACACTTTCATGTGCAGCTGCCTCCAATGGACTGTCAAAAGCAGTTGTGCGGGGTTATGCGAATAAAATTCCTGTTGAAGTTTTGGTTGATACTGGAAGTACCGATAGTTTTATAAACCGAGCTGTGGTAATTGAAAATGGTTTTCATGTAATTCCAGAACGGAAACAGGTATCTATGGCTTCCACTAACCTTAAGTCACCTATCAAAGGTTATGTTTCTGTGAACTTAGAGTTCTCTGACCATAACTATGAGAGAGTACAACTGTTTGTTATTGACAATCTGTGCACTGACATATTGGTTGGTCATGATTTAATGAAACTGCATTCTTCAGTGAACCTAGATTTTGGAGGAGATAAGTTACCTCTGTCCATTTGTAATGTTGCCTGTGCTTCTGTAGAACCACCACGCCTTTTTCATAATCTATCACCTGACTGTAAGCCCATTGCAACTAAGTCTCGTAGGTATTCTAATGATGATGAAAAGTTCATCAACACTGAAGTGCAAAAACTCCTTCAAAGTGGTGTAATTGAAGAAAGTTCATCTCCCTGGCGTGCACAAGTGCTTGTTACCAAAAGCTCAACTCATAAAAAGCGATTAGTAATAGATTATAGTCAAACTATAAATAAGTTTACCCTATTAGATGCCTACCCCTTGCCTAATATTGAAAACATAGCAAGTAAAATAGCAGAAAATAAAGTATTCAGTACTATAGATTTAAAGGAGGCTTACCATCAAATACCAATATCGGAACATGAAAAATGCTTCACAGCATTTGAGGCAGCAGGAAAACTTTATCAGTTCTGTAGGGTTCCATTTGGTGTAACAAATGGTGTGTCTGCTTTTCAGCGCACGATTGATAAGATTATTTCCACTGAAAAACTAGAAGGGGTGTGGGCTTTCATTGATGACATAACCGTAGCCGGAAAAACTCAGTCAGAACATGATGAAAGGCTGAATAAATTCTTAAAGGTAGCTAAGAAATATAATATTACTCTAAACAATGAGAAGAGCAAATTTTCTCAAGACATAATATCAATCTTAGGATATCAAATTCGCTACCAGTCTATGCAAGCAGATCCAGATCGTCTGAAACCCTTGTTAGATTTACCATTGCCAGTTAATGCATCTCAATTAAAACGTGCATTAGGAATATTTTCTCACTACTCAAAGTGGGTTCCTAAGTTCTCAAACAAGATTCGGCCTCTGATTGATTGCAAATCTTTTCCTATATTGTCCTCATCTTTGCCAGCTTTGGCTTTTCAGGAAATTAAACAAGACATAGGAAAATCAATACTCACCGTGATTGATGATAATTCTCCATTAGTTGTGGAAACAGATGCATCAGACTTCGCTATCGCTGCCACGTTAAGTCAAAAGGGTAGACCTGTCGCTTTCTTTTCAAAAACATTGACAGATTGTGAAAAACGTCATTCGTCTATTGAGAAGGAAGCCCTAGCCATAGTCGAATCTCTAAAGAAGTGGAGACATTTCCTCATTGGGCGACATTTTCTATTAATCACCGATCAACAGGCTTTGTCGTTTGTGTTCAACAGTCGGCATACTAGTAAAATAAAGAATGAGAAAATCACTAGATGGCGTCTTGAGTTGTCACCTTATTCTTTTGACATACAGTACAGACCAGGTAAAGAAAACGTTACCGCAGATGCATTTTCACGCGTTTGTGGAGCTGTCACAAACATAAATTGTGATGACAAGCTTTTTGCACTTCACCAGTCACTTTGCCACCCTGGAATCACTAGGATGTACCACTGGGTAAAAAGTAAAAACCTTCCTTACTCGGTTGAGGATGTTAAAACAATGACAAACAAATGCCCAATGTGTGCAGAGATTAAACCTCGTTTCTATAAAACTACAAATGCTCACCTTATCAAGGCCACAAAACCTTTTGAGCGACTTAATGTAGATTTTAAGGGTCCTTTGCCATCTTGCACACGAAATCGATATCTATTGACAATAATCGATGAATATTCACGCTTCCCTTTTGCATATCCATGCAGTGATATGTCCTCAAACACAGTAGTTCGCTGTTTAGAAAATCTATTTTCAATATTTGGAATGCCAAACTACATTCATTCAGACAGAGGGACATCTTTTCTTTCAAAAGAACTCAGAGACTACCTTCATGAAAGAGGAATAGCCACCAGTCAAACAACTCCATATAATCCAGCAGGAAATGGCCAAGTTGAAAAGTTAAATGGAACATTGTGGAAAGCAATCTTGTTAGCTCTGAAGTCCAGGTCACTAAAGGTAGAACAATGGGAAGTTGTACTCAATGATGCATTGCACTCCATAAGATCTCTTTTGTGCACTTCGACTAACAGTACACCACATGAAAGGTTTTTCATTCATCCTCGGCGATCCCTCAATGGCACCTCACTACCAGCTTGGCTCATGAAACCAGGACCGATATTCTTAAAAAGAAATGTTCGACCATCAAAATTTGATCCTTTAGTTGAGGAAGTCGAGCTGTTGGATGCTAATCCTCATTATGCCTTGGTTAAACACAATGATGGAAGAAAGTCAACTGTATCCCTCAAGCACCTATCTCCAAGGGGGGATGTAAGTCTACTAGAAAACCAAGGCCTTCCAACGCTAAAAGATAATCCTCAACTGGTGACAGATGAATCACAACCACATGTCATTCCAGAGCCGAACATCAATCCAGAACCAAATGTGAACCCAGAACAGAATGTCACTCCATTTGATATTCAAGACCATGATGATTATCCAAATGATGATAATCAACCAAACTTCATTCCTGAACAAGACTCTGAAGAAAACCAACCTATAGAAAGGCCGAAAAGATCAAGAAAACCACCAAGTTACCTCGCTGATTACATTGTTTAAATTTTGAGGGGGAGAATGTTATGAATTCCTGTCTCTAGTAATCAGCTGAAGTATTTATTTACTTGTTTGTATTAGAGATTTGTTTACCTTTCCAGCTATGTAAGAATTTAAGTTTATTAAAGCCTTATTTTCTAAAAAGGTTCAGTTATTCACAACATAGAATATACGTTAATTAGATGTGTAATGCCTGCACTGCCAACATGTGACGCCAGCGCCTTTTGCTCAACCCTCGCTCTCAGTCTGCTATGATCAGTTCGATCAGCTGTATATTAAGTATAAGCATGCTTAGTATAGTCACAAACATGTCACACTGTGTATAGTGGGTTTGGTAATATAAAGAGATGGGGGATGAAGTAGATCGAGATATGGGGACTTTTCTTTACGAACAGGCTGATCAATATGAAAATATATTTATCGCCACTGCCCAGCCCATACAGTTCACTTAGCACTGGCAATATTGCACAGTACTTCGTTAAATTTAATTTTTCACAACTTTTTTTATTCACTTGACTATAGTGATTCATAGATTTGGACAAGATCGGTGCCTGAAAGCCACTAATTACAATTTTTTTTGAAGAATGTTTGAAATAACGAGTTGAAAAATAGAGATTGAGATGGTTCGGCCACTTAAGAAGAATGGTTAATAATAGAATCCCCAATAAAGAGTGAAGAGTGACCATGAGGAAGACGTAGAAGTGGATTTATAATGTGAGATGAGATGTGGAAGCAAGAGGAGTGCAGTGGCATTTTGTGGAGGAAGAGGAATTGTGGAAGGACAGAAGAAGATGGATAGGCCTAGTGAACACCCAGACCCGGAGATAGCCGGAACGAGAGAGGATACGTATGTATGTTGATTAAAGTTAAGTAATGATACTGTAGAAAACTAGATTTTCTTTTAAGCACCTATATTTTCTGGTGTTGTAGATCGTACAACCACATATACAGGGTGAAGGCTGTTGTGGTTCATCGAGGTTCTGTGCACAACGGACACTTTGTGACGTATCGCCGAGGGCCTCTACAGTCCAGCACTCGACACAGGTCTGACAGGTACTAGCTGCCTCGCGCATGGTTCATCATTCATATGTCATTATTAGTGATGATTGGTTTCCTCAGTTTCCTTGTCATTTATCAATTGTGGAAAGTTTAGAGATTATCTATCTAACCATTCCAACCTATAGATTTAATAGGCCAACATGAATTTTTTAATTATGGTTTTGAAGCCGTCACACAACCGATAACCATGTCCAATTTGTCGTTGGATAGGCCGTAACATGTAGATTTGCCAACAAATGAGAAATGTTTGAAACTCCATCAGGGCTTTGCCCCAGTGGCCTTCTTAGTAGTCTTGTTATCTTTATGAAGAAAATGTTTCTTTACGTTTACATTGAAGGGATGAATTATTCTTTGAAATCCCCACTAATATTTGAAACAGCTGATTATATCAAAATTGTAGTTTATGGAAACGTCTGTTATAAATATTAAATAAATTAGTTAAAATATAAATATTTACTACCATTTTAGCAAATTTCCCATGTAGAGAATGCTAATAGCTTTATTACCATAGGTCTCATAGTAATAACTGGACCCGGAACCGATTTACTTTTTTATTTTGATGTCCCCAGACGCCATAAAGCACCATCCATTCAAATTCATAATACGAGGGCTATCCAGAAAGTAGCAGACATTTTGAAATAAACCATATACATTCCAACCTCGGTATAACGAATCTGAAGGGATCGAACTGAATATTAGTTATATCAAGGATTTTGTTAAAAAGAGGTTTGTTGTATTGATGTTAGGTTTGCAGGAATTTCGCTAAGTCGAGTTTCAGAACCTGTGTCAATATGAATACCGGACAATTGCGGACACGGACAATTGGGGCACGTCTTAAAAGCGGACAATTGCGGACACTAGGGATTAATGCTACCTGACAAGTGTTTGACAGGTCAAATATTTCACTGCCGGACAACTGCGGACACATGTTCTGGAAAGAGTCTGATTTCCACCTAAAGAACAGATACATACATGATATATGATTTTAAGACTAATTTCCATCACACTTTACACACTAACCTAACCTAACCTAACCCAAGGTCCAGGTTCCATACCAGTACACATATTGATCAGTGGTTCGGTGGCTTAACTCAAACAAAATGAAGGTAAATTTTTATTTTGCTACACAACTCTTTTAAAAATATAACATTGGCTTTATTGTATGCTAAGTTACTATGTTGGTTGAACAAACAAAATAACAAGTTGGAAAAAGTAGACAAAGGACTTGTTGAGCGGAGTGAGCGAGTTTAGCGGAGTGAACACTCACTGCTTTTGTACAAATACTCCTCTTGAATGGCTGAATTGATCAGCACGAAATTTAGCACAGCCGTAGTAACCAACTATAGGAAGGTATAAATCTAAAATGGCACAATTCAGACAACAGGGCTTTACCCTATTCCACCTGTTGTAGTTTGCTTGTTTATGAACATATTTGGATCAAATTTAGAAAATGCATTTATTTCATACCACTACATAGGCTATTACTAAAATTTTACAAAAACATTTTCTTGCCCTCCCTGTTGCAGCAAATCTAACTACTCCGTCAACTAATGCTATTTAATTAGGGAGTAATTCCAATCAGGCAAATGAAAATTTGCTTAGTCTGTAGGTTTGCTGCAGCGGTGGTATTTTTATGTTTACAGCTGTTTTCAGTTTAAATGGTTCAAATGTTAATTAATTAACAAAAATCCTATACTCTAAAATAAGGACGTGTACGGGCAAACCTTTTGTTTCGTCTGAGGATTTTTGATTTTTTTTTGTTTGATTTGGGGGCATTTGGTCATGAGAAATCAGTTGGTGTTGGACATAAGGTTGGAAAAACTAAGTTTCTGTCCAACAGCCCTTGAAAGTGCCCATGCTATCGTCAATAACCTTTTTGTCATACCCCCAACAAATCCTTCTCAAACCCGCAATGTAGTATGGAAAGAAGTTATAAAATATCATCAAATGTTTCTCAATCCTGTTATACGACAACCCGATTTATTTGGAAGATGAAATGTAAATGTAAAACAAAAATTATGTGAATTGCAATGTATTTATAAAGGTGCAGTGCATTTAAAAAGGGACGTTTTATTTGAATCATCTACAATTTTTTCCCATTTATTACAAAATAAATATTTTTAACTTAGCTAATTAATTTATCTAATAAATGCATTTCATTCCATCCAAGCAAAGCTCAGTCTCCCAGTGCTCTGATAGGAAACAAAATACCGTTTTTACTTAAATTGTACAAAGCTAAGCTTACCTTATAATTTCTTCAACTGATCCATAAGAATGATATATCTATTCGGAGAATTTTTAGGGAGTGTGAAGTTTTAATTCAACTTCAAGAAAGATTTAGCTTAGTAGGCCTACCAATTCAACAAATAACAGTCCTTCCTATAAATAATCATATTTTTTTCATGATCCTTCCTAAAGAAATATCATTGTAATTAATTTGTCACAAAGGGTTTATAATTGCTTTTGATAACATTTTAAATTTGATGTTTAAATTTGACCTATAGTTTGAGCAAACACTACTTTGGAGTACACTAATAATTAGGCCTACTCTCGAAGAGAGCATGAATCTCCAGATGTCCTATTTTACATCCTATATCATGGTCTGATTGTAGATGTCCTAACTAAAAAAAAGTATTAAAATATAACTATTGGAAGAATATAAATTGTAATTTTAGGAAAAGATTATTTTTGGAACTGACAAATTTATTTGTGGATCAGTACTGCAGGGAACTTTGAATGTTGCTGTAAAAAGAAAAAAAAACCACATATTTGGTAGATCAAAATTAAAACTCAGCACTTGACTTAAATTTTTGAAAAAAAAAATTACAGAAGCAGAAAAATTACAGAGATTTGAACATAAATAATTATAACAATATTCAAAGTAAATTAATTATGTTTGGCAGTTATAATTAGCATAAAACTATTACCGTATGCTTAACCCCTATGAAAGAGCACACAGAACCTAAATTTCTTTGGAGGTAAAAGTGCAAAAGCGAAACATCGGTGTCACAAATATACTGCTGTGAAATGAAGACCTTGGGTTACAAGATGAAAAGTAAAAGAAATCCATTAAAAAAAATAATAAGATTTTAAAAGACCAAATTTTTTATATGCTGTCATCAGTGAGCGTAAAAAACCGGGATCAATGACTAGAGGGGAGAAATAGCTATTTACCTTACAAGTGTAGTAAGAGCGTTTTTACATCACGCAGGTGAAGGTTGTGCAACGAGCGGAAGCGAGTTGCATAATTTACCTAAGTGATGTAAACACGCTCTTGCGTAACGTGTAACGTACAAGATTTTACCTGACCCGACAATATACAGGAGGTTACGAACAATATTAATCATTATCCATTTCACTCATCTTCTAACAGTAACGTTAATTTACAAACAAAAGCTAGGTTAGGAAAATTCTTCAAAACATAACAATAAAATTCAAGAGCACAGCTGATTTCTAGCGTTGAATGTCGTTGGCTCCATAGAGGTTTATTTTTTAAGTTAAGCACTCAATGTTATTTAAATGGGTTTCATTACATCACCGAGTGAGTTTTTGATACTTTACATCACTCGAGAAGTAAGGAAGTTGTATACATCACGCTTGGGATAGGGAAGTTTAACATGGCGGGTTAGGTAAAATTGCTTTACGTAGCACTTTAACCTAAGTAAGGTCATAAATGTTTATCCCACTTTTGTTTAGTTGCATACTTTTACATTAAAAAGTTGTTTGTTATTATTTTACTATCCAAGCGATCACATTTTTATGGTTTGTAATAAATATATTTATCCAAAATGATTAAATGTGTCTGTTTATGATATTGTTTTATTGATTTACCCCAGTTTACCACAACTGAGCACAGGTACAGTTAGGGATGGATGGATCTTGAACTTCTGGGAAACTTGAACAGAAAATATATTTTCAATTCTACATTTAATTTGGGATTAAATTTGGCTTGGGACTGGGTTTGTTGGCGTCGTGAGTGATGGTTATGACGTCTCCGCAATCGTGGGAGATGTCCATGATGGTTTCGCGAACTCAGGAGACGATAAGGGTGTCCATGACTGGGGTAGACTGGTAGACATTCATGATTTTGCCTCAATGGTGGGAGATGTTCTCGATTTTTCAACTATTGCGGGCAAAAATGATAATTACCTCCATGATTTTGGTAGATTTTGAGTTCACCATTATGATGCATCCCCATTCACAGGTTTATAGCCATGATGCATTGTGATAGGTACATATTACAAAATTGATTACTAATCCTAATACTGATTTTCTACTGATAACCACATACCTTTGCTAGGACTAACCTACACAGAAATATAAATACCCACCACGCTCAAATCCATACTCAATTCCACCTTCCTCAAGCAGTACAATACGCATGGGCTTGCTAATAATCAACTTGTTTTTATAGAACAGTAAAACTTTGGACTGGGATTACACTTTACCATTACTGGAATAATCATGTATGTTGTGTAAACTTTCCTCGCAACCCTCGTGAAAGCGCTAAATTAAACTTTACTTTTCTATGTGAATTTATGCTTTTTATAGATTGGTATTTTAACATAATGATTTAGATTTCTACTTATTCTTAAAATTAATATAGCCTATAGGTAGTAGCATTGACTATACACAGGATCTGTGTATAGTCAATAATAGTAGTAAAAAACCTAGAGCAAAGTAAAAATTCTAAAAACCTTTTGTAGGTTTTAGTGCTTTTAGGATGGTTTGTGTTGCTGATACACCCATTTGAAATACATGGCTTATGGGGGCTCCGTATGCACGGTGAATGAGGAATGGAGTATATGCGTAGTTTATTAATGTTAAGTAGGTAGCTGATATTCAATTTTTAGAGACACTTTCTAGGGGGAAAATGATGATTTAAGGAAGTAAACATTGGATGATTAGATTGTATGATACTAATGCTAGTTATAACTTGCAGGTGGTACTTAACATCAGATGAATCAGTGACTTCAGCTACATTAGCAGGAGCTATGGAGGCAAATGCATACATGCTCTTCTATGAAAAATGTTCAATGACTCCTACTTAAGTAAGCTAACATTTTTATAACTCTCTCCATAATATTTCTTTAACATATTTCAGTTCAATTTTGTTCAATATAATAAATTAGTAGCCTCAGATTAAGACGCAAGTTTAGAAATGTTAAATGTGTTTGCGGTTTATCGTACATTATTTGTCCAACTAGTGGAAATGAATAAATGATTTATAAATAGTTCTTTTTCTTATCACTGCATACAAAATGATGATCACATTGTCACACCTGTAAACAGTACGCAAAATAGCTCAATTCCACTTTGTTCATTCTCGCTTGCTAAATCTGCTTATTTTACTATTGGCCTTTCTATAAAACCCTAAAATCCGATAAGCAAATAAAAACATAACCTAAATGGCATTTTATATACAACTAAAAAGTTAATCAGTGTGTTATGATGAGTTAAACATGGGGATAGGAAAATTTTTGGTGAATTATGAGCACAACACAAACCGTCATTGCCATATTCAAAATGTATGGCCACACTCAGCTAAAGCTTCGTGGGGTCATCTTCAGTATGAGCGACAATGACTATTTTTCTCTCTTAATACACAAATAGCTATTTCTAATGGAAAACTAAATAATACCCGAGTGAAAATTTAAAAACGTACGTTTTCAGGAAAAGCACTTTGCAAATTCTTTTCCCCTTTTTTCAAAACTTTTATTATTTTTTTTATTTCATTTACATTTGAAGTTTCATAAAAAGTCCATGGTAACGCAATATCTTTGGTAGTTTCTTTTTAAAAGAGCATCTTTAGTTGAAAAAACACAAAATCCTGTCACGACCATAACGGATGTTTAAATGAATATTAAAAATAGTTAATATTATTTTTATAACTATGTTTTGCTATAAACTAATTTACTTTTATGACCATTATACAATAAAAAGGTCACTGAGCTTTTGGTATATTTGGTCTTTCTAGAAAAAAATAAAAAAACTCAAAAAATTTAAAAAAAGCCAATAAAATCTTTTTAAGTTTGTATAACTCCGAAGAACTTACCTGAGACCCGAAAAATCGTTATGTTTGTATAGAGGTGTGCTTCTTTTGTGTATAAAACATTGAAATATGACGATATTTTAATTTTTGAAATTTTTATGATAGAAATCATAAACGTGATGGTCAGGGACAAGAAGTACGGTCGTGAATTGTCTGGAATAATCTAAATCTTTCTAAACAATCCTTCAATTATCCTGTTAGTTATAATAAAAATATGTGTTTCAATTGAACTAAACTGTTCAATTTACAATTATATTAAAGTTATTGTCACGACCAAACACGCTATAATCCATAATGCTGGATTGGTCGTGAAAAAACCCGCGATGGTCGTGAAACTTTGGTCGTGAAAATACGTGTTATTTGGCTCTGTTCTGGGGGTAGCCCTGCACCTCATGTTCGAGGATACAAAGTGGACTTCTACGTTAATCTAGCAATTGAAATATCTTATAAACAAAAATTAACACCATGTCTACTTCATCGAATGACTACGTACGGTCATGGACACACCAAAATTACAAAAAACACAATCTTTCCTTTATTAATCTTGTAATTCCTCCTTTCAACTCGAAACGACCGGCACTACAATCCTGACGTACATCCCGAACTAGTCTCTAAAACCAACTGACTCCATCGACGCCAGGCTTGCCACTGTCGTGCTCCAAAGTTGAAAATTTTTCCCAAATGGTCGTGACGCCAAATTGAGGGACAGACTTATTTTGTCATGGTAGTCAGTTTGTAATGACAATAAAATTATAATATGCTCCTTTTTTGTAAGTTTAATAACCATTGATGACATAAAAATATGGCTTTATATATTTCGGCATGAATAATTAGTCTAAATACAGTGTGAAAGTTGGAAAATGTACCCTAGGGACACGTCATGGTCGTGAATTTCGAGACTTTAAAAATACGAAAAAAATACCTAGAACCTATTTAAAACCAAATAAATGTATGTAACATGTTGCCCCCGTCCCAAAAAATATTAAAACACATAATAATAAACTAAAAATCCAGTATCTACGAAGTAAAAGGCCAGGGACATGAAAACGTACGTTTTTAAATTTTCACTCACCCCCACCGCAGAAAACCTGCATACAAAGTGAATTTCCATTACCTGGATTATCTCTTTAATACTTCCTTAAGATTGGAAGAATTATTTCCTATATTAGTTTTAATACGTATTTAGGTTTTCTGCTACAAAGAAGGTTTTTTTTTAGCAAATTTCCCATGTAGGCAAATAAGCTCACTGTAGATCTCATGGTAGGACCTAAACCCAGGGCCAAATTTACTTTTTACTTTCTCGCCCTATACCATAGTATATGGAGAAAGTATTGTTTTTGTCAAAACTAAATTTTTGAGTTTGAGTTTTGAGTGGATATATTCGTTTTGCGTCCCCCTGGACCCATAAAAGTGGTTTTCGAAGTGATGTCTGTGTGTCTGGATGTGTACAGAGCTAGGGACTACACTTGTGGTCCGATTTCGATGAAATTTGGTATGTAGGTTTTGATAAAATTTTGTATGTTATAGTCTTTTATATTCTGAACAAAATGGTACAAATCCCATTTCTTTAAAAAATACGGGTTAAAAGTTATTGTAAATTATGTTATTTTCTCATAAAAACCCCATAAAATAACGGAAAAATTGGATTTTTCCAAAAATGGCCAGAACAATTTTGATAAAAATATTTAGTATGTTATAGTCCTTTAAATTCTGAACAAAATTGTACAAATCCCATTTCTGTATATTTACTCTCACCGCTTACACATGATAAAGGTCGTTGACAAACTTATGGGAGAAAGTATGTGTCAGAATGCTGATAACGTTTATTTGTTTTGATGTGTAAAATTTAGTTGCCAAAAACACCATCTCTCAAATTCATAATATATATATATACAGGGTGTCCCGTAACTCTCTGGACACTTGTATATAGCGTTATTCCTTAGGTCAAGACAAACACATTTCACCATAGGAACATGGGTCTGTGGTGTCTAGTTTACCGACTGTCGGTATTTATGTGTTTTTTACAAAAAAACAATTAACTCCTAAACGGTTTGAGATACAGCTTTGATATTTTGCAAAAATGTTAATCTTTTTAAGACCTATTATCGTTAGAAATTATACTAAAAAATTATTAACCGTTTCAAAATGGCGGCCATTTAAAATATTTGAAGCCAAATTTCACAAAAACCGTTAACTTTACAAAAAAATTGCAAGAGACAAAAAAGTTTGTAAATTTTATGTAGTTTTCAATGATACCTGATTTGTTAAGATTGGATAAATAATAACAGAGAAACGTGTTGTTTTCTAAATGTATGATTACTTTTCTCCATTTAAACAATGCTAATACTCCTTTTACGTTGTTTAGCATTGTTTAAATGGAGAAAAGTGGTCATGCGTTTAGAAAAGAAGACATTTCTCTGTTATTATTTATCCAATCTTAACAAATCAGGTATCATTGAAAACTACATAAAATTTACAAACTTTTTTGTCTCTTGCAATTCTTTTGTAAAGTTAACGGTTTTTGTGAAATTTGGCATCAAATATTTTAAATGGCCGCCATTTTGAAACGGTTAATGATTTTTTAGTATAATTTCTAACGATAATAGGTCTTAATAAGATTAACATTTTTGCAAAATATCAAAGCTGTATCTCAAACCGTTTAGGAGTTAATCGTTTTTTTGTAAAAAACACATAAATACCGACAGTCGGTAAACTAGACACCACAGACCCATGTTCCTATGGTGAAATGTGTTTGTCTTGACCTAAGGAATAACGCTATATACAAGTGTCCAGAGAGTTACGGGACACCCTGTATATACAGGGTGTCCCGGAACTCTCTACCAATATTTTAGAGCGTTGATCGTGGGTAAGAAACGTACCTAAATATCATATTTAAATTGTCCGGAAGTCCTTAGTTACTCACACAGCCGCCATTTAGTTTTTTTCTGTTATTAATTTTTTTCTAAAGAATGGTTAAACATACGAAATGGAAACTTTGCACAAACATTTATGACAACTAGACAACGCTACAAAAAAATTACGAAGATTTTTCAAATTCATAAAACAAAATGGCGGCCATATAAAATTTTCTTTCTTAAATAACTCAAAAACCATTGATTTTACAAAAATTTTAAATGACCGCCATTTTGTTTTATGAATTTGAAAAATCGTGATAATTTTTTGGTAGCTTTGTCTAGTTGTCATAAATGTTTGTGCAAAGTTTCCATTTCGTATGTTTAACCATTCTCTAGAAAAAAATTAATAACTGATAAAACAAAATGGCGGCTGTGTGAGTAACTAAGCACTTCCGGACAATTTAAATATGATATTTAGTTATGTTTCTTACCCAAGAGCAATGCCCTAAAATATTGGTAGAGAGTTCCGGGAACTCTCTCGAAAAAATTCACAGGATTATTCCTTGGGTTAATACATGAATATTTTACATTATAAACATGGGTCGCCGGAGCCTCGTTTTCCGTCTGTCTGTCTGTATGTGATTTTTATAAATAACTTTATAACTCGAGTTTGAATCGAGGTACAAACTTTAAATTTGACACACTTGTGTATTTTAACGTTATACACAAACATGCAAAATTTCATTTCGTTGACTATAGCCGTTTCAAAATGGCGGCCATCTAAAATCTTTGACCTCAAATTACATGAAAACCACTAGAGTTACAAAAAAAACACAAGAATAACAAAATTTAGGAAATTTTATGCCAAATCAAATGACACCTAGATCTTAAAGATCGGACAACAAACAGCTGAGTTATACATTTTTAAAATAATTAATAATTTCTTTACTGGCTTTTAATTGGTATTGTTTATTCTTAAAAATCATCTGATACAGAGTACATTACGTAACCTTAAACAGATCTCAATAGTTAAGGTAAAAATAGGACAATTAATACATTTACCATCTAGTAAAAAAACTAAATGTTGTTGTTAGAGCAAACCAGCTGTCTTACATTGTTGTAACAATTTAGAAAGGAACAGTTGATTTTAAAGAATAGACAATAACAATTAAAATCCAGTAAAGAAATTATTAATTAATAAAAAATTAATGACTCAAAATAATCATGTGATCATCATCTCAAAATCATCTTTCCAACCAGCTGTCTTACATTGTTGTGACAATTTAGAAAGGATCAGATGATTTTTAAGAATAAACAATACCAATTAAAAGCCAGTAAAGAAATTATTAATTATTTAAAAAATGTATAACTCAGCTGTTTGTTCTCCGATCTTTAAGATCTAGGTGTCATTTGATTTGGCATAAAGTATCCTAAATTTTGTTATTCTTGTGTTTTTTTTGTAACTCTAGTGGTTTTCATGTAATTTGAGGTCAAAGATTTTAGATGGCCGCCATTTTGAAACGGCTATAGTCAACGAGATGAAATTTTGCTTGTTTGTGTAACACGTCAAAATACACAAGTGTGTCAAATTTAAAGTTTGTACCGTGATTCAAACTCGAGTTATAAGGTTATTTATAAAAAACACATACAGACAGACAGACGGAAAACGAGGCTCCGGCGACCCATGTTTATAATGTAAAATATTCACCCAAGGAATAATCCTGTGAATTTTTTCGAAAGAGTTCACAAACACCCTGTATATATATATATATATATATATATATATATATATATATATATACAGGGTGTTTGGTACTCAGAGTGAAAAAAATTTTTTGGTGTAAGTACAAAGTAAATGCAGTATGATGATGCATATAAAATGTCCCAAGTCTAAAAATTAGCTTCCCAAAGAATTATTTTATGTTTTTCAAAAATAACTATGTTTTTAAACTTAATACAGCTATTTCTCAATTACCTGTAAATGGATTTGAGTAGACAATGTCATTTTCGTGTTCTACATTAAATTTTGAATAAGAATAATACAAAATGACAGAGAATCAGTTGTAAAAACTCCATCGTAAATAGATTCAAAGATAAAAATTAAGATGTCTGATAAAAATGCAAAAAACATTGGTCAATTGCATTTGTTCACACCCTGTATACAGGAAAGTGTCGGAATATGTTAAAAACTGCGCCATTTTATAAGCTTTCCAACCATATGCTACACTATTGAGGTTTAGATATTTTTTTGTTTATTTTAGTGGTTTGAATGCCAGAAAACAGGGAACTTTTTTACTGTTTTTACTGTTCAAGCTGAAACAAAAATACAACTTTAGCTTAATACATGCTGACTTTCTATGTTTTAAATGATAAAGACGCCATGCTTTGTAGTCTTCAAACCACAAAAGCGTACATAAGCAGACAGAAAGCTCAATGGTGTAGCATATGGTTGGAAAGCTTATAAAATGGCGCAGTTTTTAACATATTCCGACACTTTCTTGTATACAGGGTGTGAACAAATGCAATTGACCAATGTTTTTTTGAATTTTTACCAAACATCTTAATTTTTATCTTTGAATCTATTTACGATGGAGTTTTTACAACTGATCCTCTGTCATTTTGTATTATTCTTATTCAAAATTTAATGTAGAACACGAAAATGACATTGTCTACTCAAATCCATTTACAGGTAATTGAGAAATAGCTGTATTAAGTTTAAAAACATAGTCATTTTTTAAAAACATAAAATAATTCTTTGGGAAGCTAATTTTTAGACTTGGGACATTTTATATGCATCATCATACTGCATTTACTTTGTACTTACACCAAAAAATTTTTTTCACACTGAGTACCAAACACCCTGTATATTATGTGTATGTGTGTACAATAACTTGAGTAAAAATTATCCGATTTTGATTTTATAGAGGAGAAAATTGGTTTTTTCTCTACCTATTTTATTACCAAGATCAGTAATAGCTATCATTAAGTGGTACCTATTAAAATTAGGTTCAGAATTTCTAGGAACTGAGCATGTTTAATTAAGAAGCAACTTAAGCTACAATAATATTAATATTATTTTCAAAAAAAGTTATATCTGAACTAAATACTCTGTTATTCTATGTAAAGAGAATTATAACAGACGGGATTATGACAAATGAGACACTTCTTCCTAAGTACTATGTAATGCAGTTGTAAGCTCGTAGTTGACTTTGTCGGCTGCTAGGCTACTACTGCGTTTTGGGTTATGGCCTGCAAATTGATCGTGTCCCGTCTCTTATTATATTTATAGGGCTTCCTTTTTAGGTTTGATGACTCACATATAACATGAATTAGCAAAAAAGGAACAAGGGAATATAATGAAACAACATGCATAGTAATAATTTGAATGTATTTATACTTTATATTCCTCTGATAATACTTTTAAACACTTGCCATCATGCAACTTAAAATTTATAAAAAAGTAATAATATTTATGGTCTTTTTCAGATACAAGGATTTACCAATAGAGAGCAATAGACTGTGATGTAGACTTAATTAGTAACTAATGTTTGTCATTTCATAGTGGGTCATATAATTATTTTCTTAGTTTGGGCTTTGTTACTGTTTCAAAATGCAGGGTGATTAAAAAAGAAGTAAACAACTTAATACGTAGCCTATATAAACTAAAAGTTATGTTGTTTATGTCAGTGTAGTTGGTACAGTGGATAGTTAAATACCTGAATTTTGATTTGAAACAGCCGATTGTTGTCAACAACGCAAACATTCTGTAGAGTTTCAGAGTTAAGTAAGTATTTCTGTAAAAAATTGCTCTTAAACTTTTAATGAAATATTTTTCTGGGCTTGAGTTTGTAGAAATTTTATCAGCTACTGTTGATTTAGGACTCATTGTAGGCCTGATAAATCTATATAGAATGACATAAGAAGTTCAGCACTAAAGATTGTTGAACAAATAATAAACCATTGAGAGGCCTGAGGTAACTGCTGTTACTGTTGCACTTACTCAAAAGAAGTCGGCAAGGGAGGTGAGTTTAAAATTCTACAACCAATGGTTTTAAGTATAATGATCTTATACGTATTATAAGAAAGTATCCAGATGAGAATCTCCCGATGCACTTCACATCATCAAGCTAATGTTGCAATGTCCTCCGCATTGCCCTGATTTAATTCCTCGTTATTTATATTTGTGGGATTATGTGAAAGACAACAAGTTTGTACAGCTTTTCCTATCAAACCTTTTGCTGCTAAAGAGAAAGGATTGTTTCTACAGTAAAGAATATTGATCAGCTCACTCATCAGGGAGTTTGGACAATGCTAAAAAATGGATTGTATTATTCTGTGCAAACCAAAATCCACACTTTAAACTTTTGTGATCCATGGAAAAAATTTCAAGAACTATTTTCAGAAAACATAAGATGCATTCTTCTTGTATAACATTATTAGAACATCAAAGTTGTTTATTTCTTTTAGAATCGCCCTAATGTTATGTTAAAATCTCCTGGTTTATTTATAAAGTGTATACATTTGTATGACGTAATTAATGTCCAGTGTACGTTACATTGCCATATTTATAGAAAAAATATTTTCCTTTATCCACACTGTAGAAAACACCCAAAAGCTTTAGTTTCTGCTACATCAGAAATAACAGTAGTCTCTTGGATAGGTGAGTTTTCTAAAATAAAAACAGTTCTTCCTTAACTCGTTACTCATTTCAATAAGTTTCATTCTTGTTAAACAACTGTTTCACATTCAGTTAAGGTGTTGTGGTCCAGTGGGCTGGGCTGAAATATTCCTCCCAATACTGATTACTACTAGGGATTGACGGGTCACGAATTTTTGAGAAATTTGCAAGATTAACCCTTTAACTGGAAGCGGGACTGTAGTCACGTTTTGGTCAAGGTTTTGGTTAACTCCAAAAAAATTGGTTAAAAACAATTGTAAAATGGAATAATTTTGCACAGCAGCTTTTGATTTAAAACACTATAAAATATGCATTTATAAAATATATATACATTTGTATGACGTAATTAATGTCCAATGTACGTTACGTTACCATATTTATAGAACAAAGATTTTTCTTTATCCACATTGTAGAAAACACCCAAAAGTTTTAGTTTCTGTTACATCAGGAATAACAGTAGTCTCTTAGATAGGCAATTTTTCTAAAATAAAAATAGTTCTAAAATAAAAAGGGTATTTGCCCTTATAACCATATTATATATTAATATTATACTAGCTGTTGTACCCGTGCTTTGCAACGGGAAGAGGACACAAACAAAATTATAATACTGCACCCTGTTAATAAACCTTATAACTTTTTAATGCTATTTAATATAATAGAACCAACTTGTGTAGTTGAAACAGCTGACAAAATTCTTTTGTTCCTTTTAAATATGATTAGGCCTACTCATAAGGTTAACATGGGAAACTCCAGAGCCACTGGGGCGGAGCCCAAAATGACTTTTGATATAAAAATGTGTCTGTATGTTAATTGGGAATGTGAGCTATCATCACACCAAATTTCAGCCCGATCTGACCAGTATCTTTTGCGTTTACTTGTCACAAACATACATCCATACATCCAAACTTTCTCATTTATAATACTAGCAGAATACCCGTCCTTCGTACAGGGGTTGCGTATAAGTATAAAATGCTTATTGCAGTTATACTCATGCTTTGTGTTTGCATTGGAAGAGGACACGGTTTGATAAAATTTGATTCTTTTAATTTACGGAAGCTATAGTATAACACATATACCATAGCAATAATGTTCTACCCCTACACCTAAACAATAAAAAAGTAAATTTTCGAATATCCGCACAATATCAAAACATTATTTATATATTAAAAACATAAACTTAATTTTAAACAATCCTACTTTAACAGTTCTTATTGTGCATCACAGCCTTTTGTTGCGGTTTGGTTCAAATTAGCTATGTTGTCATGAATTAAAAATCAAATAATAGTGCTGCACCCTGTTGGTGAACCTTATAACTTTTAATAATATTGAATATCATAGAACAAATTGTGTAATTGAAACAGCTGACAAACTCCTTCAATCCCTTTTAAATATGAATTCTCATAAGGTTAACATTGGAAACTCAAGAGCCACTGGGGCGGAGCCCGAAAGGATTTTTGAGATAAGAATATGTCTATATGTTAATCGGGAATGTGAGCTATCATCATACCAAATTTCAGGCCAATCCGACCAGTAGTTAAAGCGTGATTGAACTTCAAACAAACAAATAAACACACAAACTTTCACATTTATAATATTAGTATGATTATTATAGTAGGATTAATAAAGGGGAATAAATTTACTTTCATTTTATATAGTTGGTATTCGGGTGTTATGTGTTTGGAAAATAATATACATGTTGGAATAACAAAATGTATTTCTAAAAAAAAACATAAAGATTTATATTAAAGTCATAAAGATCATTTATGACATCATTTACAGTAATGATCATTTTCCATGAACAACTCTTACTTCATTTGATCTCCAATGTTATTGCCTTTACAAAAGTGTATTCTTCCTACATTTCTTGAGATCACATTTATTTGGGTTTTGTTCAGGGCCGGATTTCCCAATAGGCCCGGTAGGCCCGGGCCTCTGGGCGCATGGTCCCAGAGGGCGCACAGCCGAGAGTAATTTTTCTTATACCTAGCTAGGCTCTCTAAAATAAAAAGTCATAGTTGATAAAAAAACTCCAAGGCATTGTGATTCTGAATTTCATAAGATGAAATAATTGTTAGGGAATGTAATCTATTTTCAGAATCATGCATCAATTTCATTACAAAATTGGTAAATATCAAAGAACATTGGTTATACGGGAGTAGGCTCTAGGGATGTTGACGATGACGAGCGCCCAAGGGGTATGCATGCTGGCTCGGGCTCGGTACTACTGGTCAGATTGATTAGGGGCGCATGCGTACTAGACATCACTTCACCTCAAAAGTTAAGTCTTTTGATTAGTTTACAACAATCTGCAGGATCAAGTTAAAATATATAATAAGTTCTGTTGAATATCAAAACAACATGTATTTACCTTTAAAATTAACTAAAAAATATTAATCTCAGTTTGCATTGGATTTTAGAAAAATTCAATACCCTCCAAAACATCAGTAATGCTGTCATTTTCTCCTCAGACCTAAGTAAGGTCGGTACGGTTAGCCGGAATATTGCTCTGTTTTGCTTTGGAAACCACTCTGCATATTTAATCTAGATGTAGTACGACCATAGATTACTCAGACTTATATAATTATATACTTCAGACTTATATAATTAATTACCATAGATATTACTCAAGTCGACTTCTTATGACATTGTTAATTCAAAGTTTTTCATGGGTAGTTCATGTTGGTACCACTGGACGTTAGTTTTGACGTAATTTAGAAATTTTGTTTCCATTATTTTAGGGTAAGTTCTATGATGTGTTTCAATTTCTAGTAAAATAACCAGGAGACGACCTATTTTTAATCATTAGATCGTTTTATTTTGGATAACTAGGTTTAAACATAGATAAAACATACTCCTCAAAATAACAAGAATTGTTTTCAGCTAAAATGGTGACAAATCGACTAAAGGAGCAGGTTTAATCTATGGTATGACGTACTGTATGGAGTTCATGTTTTTTGGCCTGGAATTGGAATCAATGGCCATGTTTTTTTGCAGGAATGCTCGGGTGGTTGAGTTTTTTTGTTTCAGTCCCACCACGGCCACAAACGTGAGCATTTATTAAAAGCATAAAATTGCTAAATAACGTGTTTAAGACAGCATTTTGTTAAGGCTAAACAAGTCAATTCTTAAAAAAAACTTGCTCTGATTCCAAAGAGGAGTGTTATTCAAGCAGTTAACTTAGGCCAATGGGAATTATATAGTTTTTAATAAAGGTTTGAAGAAATGTGACCAGACTAGGGGGCGGAAAATTATTTGGGCCTAGGGGCGCAAAAATGCTAAATCCGACCCTGGTTTTGTTTGAAATGTGGAGCACAAAATTGTAAAATTTTCCATTTTTTCGATTTAGGTCATACATTTATAAAACAGAAAGGTAATTGAAATACTTTTACATTTTAATGTTGGAAAATAAATTCCATAACATTTTGTATATCTTGAATTTTGAGAGAATTTGAGTTCATGCAGCAAAGTTTTACACATCCAATATTAGAAAAATAATTTTTTTCTACCTAATGTAATGTCAATACATACGGTTTTAAATATTTATTTTGTTGCCATTTTCAAATTCTTAAATTTCATTACGAACAATTCAAGTAGGCCTATACGGTTCAATAGGATTGCTCTATTGGTTTAGTTTATATGAATTTCCAAAATATGACTGCAAAATCACCAAAAATGCCTTGCCGCTCCAGAAATTGCCAATTGCCAGATGCAGGGTTAAAAAATCTCGTTAGTTCAAGCAAAATTGACTTTACCCTGAGACGAGATTATAGACAAAAATTAGAAGATCTTCATAAAGGAAACGCAACATTAACACGCATCTGTGTTGCGGATTATTCCAGAGACTTTCTCAAGATAGTTTTTAACTGTGTGCATCTCAAAAATCGGTTTATCTGGTGTGACCCTGGTCCCGTCTAGGCTATACCGGATATAATAGGTTTTACTGTATATGCTATCATTATCACTGAGATCAGAAGTAACATGGTACAAAGCTACTACAATTTTCTTTCGTCTCTTATAGACGGTTTTTTTTTTTTTTTTTGTGATACAGTATTTAGTTACAGTACATGTTACAGTTTTACAAGATGTCTTATTTTATTTTTTTCTTATTTAAGGTTTTCATAACTATTTAAATAAGTTTCTGTAAGCTTTTGTTATTTTGTACACTCTTTTTGTATCAACCTTTGTTTGTAATAAATAGCCTACCGGTACTGTAAGTTACCTATTGTACTTACGGTGTTGTTTTAACAGTGCTATTTATTAAACATTGTGAAACTGCGCAAACGAATTATTAATTCCCAAAGTCAATGCCGATAGTTATGAGATCTATAATCTCGTCTTGAATTATTGTGAGAAAAAAGAATCTCGTCTCAAACTTAAAATCCAGTCTCTTCCATCCCTAATTACTAAAGGTGTTGACACATTTCAATTCTCAAATCGTGGCAAATAATCAATCAGAATTAAGATTTTGACAAGTGAAAGATTATCTCTGTGTGAGTTCTGGAATGGTGTTGAAGTTTCACCAGAGATTGTACTGTTTGGAACATTCTAATAACAAAGTTAAATCTTATTATAATTAAAACCATGTTTCTTTTTATATCACTTTCACTAGAAGTGGCTTAAAATACCTGTATTATCGGTAATCCAATCAGTGGCAGGGGGATGAAACAATGGATAGTTTTGCCCAAGGTTTCTCGTCATGACGAAAATTTTAAGTATATGGTTTATGGGGGTGTGACTTGTAGTTTTCTCAAAAGTTCATGGGTACTTTTGGCTTTATATATAGATATAGATAATGGGTATTAATTTGGAATTTGGGATACAGTCCAACCTCAGTATAACGAATCTGAAGGGACCGAACTGAATATTCGTTATATCAAGGATTTCGTTAAAATGACGTTCGTTATATAGAGGTTAGGTTTGCAGGAATTTCGCTAAGTCGAGGTTCAGAACCAGCGTTGGTCAATATAGGCCGGGTTTTGACCTAATTAAAACACAATTTAAGAAGCATAGGCTACAATACTTTACAGTTCAGTGTTCATTGTACAGTAGAACCTTCTGTATCCAATAGTCAATGGTAGAACCTAAATTATCCGGCATAATAAAGGTGAGGGATCTTGAATATTGCGCAATCATGACAATGGCATTGACCGTGGTACAGGTTAAAAACTGTAAGTTTAAAATCACAGCTTGTTTTAACCCTCCTAAAACCTAGCCAAACACTGCATTGCGTAGTCATAAACCATGTAAAAAACAAAACAAAACAGTAGAAAGTTTTGTAAGCTACTGACTGCTCCGTGATAGGCCGGTAGGCTACTTACAGTACAGTAACGTACTGATTTATCACAACAGAGGAATGTCAATAATAATCATTAACTATAGCATTGGTGTTGCTAGTTGAAACAAATCGTATTGAAAGCAATAAATTATTAGATAAGTCATTATAAAAGTGCATATTCATAGCCAACTTAAAGATAATAAAAACACTCGTAAATTAAGGAATGTTAAAATAACGATGTTGCTATTCTTTCTCTTTGCTTTTGTTTTTATATTCTTTCTTAGGTTTCACTTTATCCAAAAATTGTTCAATTCACCATATTTACTTATTACCCAATCACAGCTTACTACAGATTACGTCGTCATCAGTCCTCAGTGAATGAAATCAGTTCTCAGTTGCAACATTGCGTGCGCAGCGAAAGCAGACAGAGAGATGTGTAAAACGGAGCAGACGAATGTTAGCGCAAGCGATGACGTCACCTTTCCATTTCATTTGATAAAGAAACAGATTTTCCAAAAACAATACTGGGGTGGGGGATTTGTTATATCAAGGGAAAGACGTAGACAATTCGTTATGCAGAGGTTAAATTCGCAATGTAGAGGTTCTGACAATGGTAAATTCGTTATATTGAGGTGTCTTATTTTAGCCGGGATCATGAAAAATTCGTTAAATCAAGGTCGTTGTTATGGTTTGTTCGTTATGTAGAGGTAAAATATACATAGTCTCTTATGGAGAGTTCTAGGGGATTAAAAAAAAATCGTTATATCAAGGAATTCGTTATATTGAGGTTCGTTATACCAAGGTTAGACTGTATTAAAAAAAATGGACCAACAGGAAATTTATCTATAGGTTAAAGTGGTTAAGTAATGAACATAAAAATATTATGATTTCATTCAGATAATATAAACAAACATAATGATGGAGAGCAAAATTACTCACAATCAATTGGCTTTAAGATAATTAATAAAACAATTAATGTTACAGTTACTGTACTTTTTACCTAACTTCATTGAAAATAATCAACCAAATTTCCAGAGGTTAGGTTTACTATCTCAACTGAGTAGTGACTAGCGACACAGTAAAAAGTAATGAAACAGATTAATTGGGGAAACGTTCAACTCTCGAAGACTAGTGCTGGCAAAAACGCATCCTGTGTAAGCGCATGGGAAAAACATTTAATATTGGTTTCTTAGGATTGGCCAAAAAAACCGGAGGACCGGTAAAACCGAGGCTGGATATCAGAGGTTATATACTTAATACAACAACAGTTTTCTCTGCAACATCCCTTTTTTGCCCGTCCTACTTAACAGATTTTTACGATTGAGGTGTAAATTTAAAGCTTATGATGTAGTGCAGCCATGAATTAATTAATTAAAGATGTAATTTCGTTAAAGGCTTAACCCCCCCCCCCCCCCATTCCATTGTGCACCCTATTAAGAAAAAGATATTTGCTGTGCCTTGAATAATTTTGAATGTACATCTTCCAAACCTTGTGGCATTGGAACAACAATTTTTCTTTTAATTTAATGTTAAATTATTTTACATTTAGCTTTATAAATCTATTATTTTGTATTTTTTTCTACCCACCTTATTTTGTATGACCTATTTATCTAATTTGTAACAACTAGGCAAACACTAAGTGTTTTTCTGACATTTGTACTTCTACTACTGTACTTAGCATGAGATTGTATTGATAAAAAATAGTTTTTTAAAATAATTGTAGCCTTCTGGAAAAATGTTAAAGATTTTTATTTTTATTTTTGACAGATAATTTGGAGTTAAGTTTATAGTTTTAAGGTTACCTTTTAGTGTTGTAATAACAATCCACACTCATTAAAATTGACATTATTTATTAATGAGAAAGTGGATACAATATGGTGGATTTCCTAAGTCACTCGAGAATCATAAAACTACAGATTGTGGAGGGAGAGTACTACAATAAGTTGCAGTTGTAATATAATATTATTATCATAAAATAAACTATTTATAATAAAGATGGTTTACTTTCTTAACCCTTAAAAAACATTTTAAGCTGTTTGGTTTTTTTTATCAAATCTTGTGGAGGTTTTACTAATGATGTTATGTTAAAACTATGTATGTTAAACTCGGATATAAGAGTAAGTTACAGAACTAAGAACAATATATTCCAATTAATCAAAAAAATAAATCAAATATATAGAAAATAGTGAAGACGAAAAGTACAACAAATCAGGAATCTACACTTCAGATACACTTCAGTGACTGTAGCAATAATTATTATACAGGGTGATTGATATAAGTGTGCCAGCCGTTTTATTCGAAAACCATAAGAGATATAAAAAAAAGTTAAACGGTAAGTGCCTTGGATTTTTTATTTAAAAAATTGTAGCCAAGTCGAAAAAAATTGTTTAGCCGCCATTTTTCCAATATGGCCGCCAACTTTGATTTTTCTTATGGAACACCCTGTATTTCATGATGTATTTCGGTAGAAAATGTAATTTTAAGACGATTTTATTCTTGTGATTTTTTTCATAAACCTAACCGTTTCAAAGATAATAATGGTTAAAGTTGTGAAATTTTGAGCTTGCATGCTTGCTTAGGCCTTTATCGAAACTCTTTCTTATGCCTAATTTTTAAAACTTTAAACATTATTATCTTTGAAACGGTTAGGTTTATGAAAAAAAATCCCAAGAATAAAATCGTCTTAAAATTACATTTTCTACCGGAATACATAATAAAATACAGGGTGTTCCGTAAGAAAAATCTAAGTTGGCGGCCATATTGGAAAAATGGCGGCTAAAATAATTTTTTTGACTTGACTAAAATTTTTAAAATAAAAAATCCAAGGCACTTACCATTTAACTTTTTTTGATATCTCTTGCAGTTTTAGAATAAAACGGCTGGCACACTTATATCAATCATCCTGTATATGTCAAACATATCGAAGTTTAAAACACAGTTCAAAGAACATCTACAATGCATTGAAAATAAAAAAAAATCTAACATCAATGAAGTCAAACATCGCCGACCATATAATGAACTCGGACCACAGTTATAAAAACATGAAAGAAACTCTAACAATTTTAGAATACAAAAAAGAACGTGAGAAACTGAATGTAAAATAAGAGCTAAATGTGTATCTACATAATATAAATGACCCCACAAACATACCTAATACAGTGATTCCAAAACTAAACCAACCGTTGCAACAAAATAGAAAAACTCAGGAAAGAAGGAAAACATTAAATATAATATAATGAAGGAAATAGTTATTTGTGCAACTAGTGAGAAAAGTGAGCAATTGACTCACTCGAGAGAAATCCTTACTCACGAGCTGTAGGCGAGTGAGGAATGGTTTCTCGAGTGAGGCAATTGTACTTTGAACTCGAGTTGCACATTATACTTTTCCTACAGTTACCATAAAACAAATAAATTTGTGAAGTAACATAACCTATTTTTACACAGAAGTGAACTTTTAATATAACATTTAATGTGAAGTGACAAATACAACAATAAAACAGCTGACCAGCTGATTTACAGCCAGTGCTGCCAACGTATTTCGCGCGCATACGACGTTGCCTGCATGTTACGCGCTCACTATTTCGTGCCTTCACGTTGCAAATCTGGAGTGAGACAAAGTAATTAGAGTGAGACAATGTTAACATTGTCTCACTGATGAGCGAATTGGGCTCTTTGCTTTCTCAAATCAGTGAGAGAACATGTACATTGTTAGGTAACTGTAGGAAAAAATTATAACTTAGATATAATTAACATATTTTCTATTTCAATTATTTTTACTTATTCATTTTGATTATAATTCAGTTTGAAACTATGCAAAGTTGAAATTTGATGTTTTGCAAAAGAATAGTTTCTACTAGTTATCATACACATACCAAGTTTGAAGTTGGTACCTCAAGTGGTTCCAAAGTTATACTAAGTTATGTAAAATATACATACACACCAACAGACGGAAAACTAAGTGAGATAGAACATATGCTTATATATTTTTTGTTTGTTTTGACCTAAGGAACAGAACCACTGAGTTTCGGGAGAGAGTTTTAAAACACCCTGTACATAACCATAAAGCTATTGTTGATGTAAACATTTTTGGTGGAATCAGAGTTTGAGTATTACTTATTATTCGTTAATAATAGTGTTATATATTTCTTACTAAAGGTAAAAACTTGATTTAAATCGCCAAATTGTAGGACTGTACTGTAGGAGTAAGTATTTGGAGTAAATTGTATATCAATCACAAAAACCACAAATAAAAACAAATGGATTCGTCCGTTGGGCACCCTACCGTCATCTACTTGGACACATCACGGACGTTCAAATGTTTTTAACTTTCTTAAGCACTTATTTACTTGTATTTCTATTGAAATGTCAGAGATACTCCTTAC